CTTCTTCGAACACCATGAGATTGGGGCACCAAATACTTGAAAGAAATATCTAGTTGTGCTTCTTCGATCTTCCTTATCTCCACACCAATAAACATCTGAAAAATAATTAACTATTGCTTCTTTTCCTTCAGAATCTCGTCGAAATAGTATTCCACAATTCATTGAACCCTTCAAATATCGAAGGATTCTTCTTGCAGCCTTCATATGTGACACACTTGGTTCACCCATATATATGCTTACTAATCCGACTGCGAAACCTATATCAGGTCGACTGTTGCACACATACCTCAGAGATCCCACAATTTGCTTGAACAAAGTTGCATCGACTTTGTCTTCCTCTCCATTCTTCTCCAACTTCACATTTGGTTTGATAGGTGAGGATGCAGGATTCAAATCATCCATTATGAATCTCTTGAGTATCTCTTTGACATACTTTCTTTTATGTAGCACCATAACTTGCTTCGATATTTGAAATTCTATGCCTAGAAAATAAGAAAATTTTCCAAGATCCTACATTTCAAATTCCTTCGTCATCAGCTCTTTGAACTTCGACAAGTTCTCCAAACTATTTCCAGTTAATAGCAAGTCATCAATATACAAGCAGATGATTGTTATATCTTGTGCTACAACCTGAACATAGACACCATACTCTGATTTATATTTGACAAATCCTAATTCGACTAAGTATGAGTCGATCTTCTTGTTCCATGCCTTAGGTGCCTGCTTGAGGCCATAGAGCGCTTTGTGTAATCTATATACTTTACTCGCTTCCTTCTGAATCACAAACCCACGAGGTTGTGTGACATAAACTTCTTCGTCTAAAGGACCATTCAGAAATGCTGATTTCACATCTAGATGAAATGTTGACCAGCCTTGGTTGCATGCCATTGCTACTACTAGTCGAACAATCTCTAATCTTGCTACTGGAGAAAATACTTCAGAGTAGTCAAGTCCTGCTCTTTGAAGAAAACCTCGAGCTATTAATCTTTACTTTATGTCTTGCTATTGACCCATCTGCATTGTGTTTCAACTTGAACACCCACTTTACTTTGATAGATTTTGTATGTGCTGGAAACTCGACTAACTCCCATGTGTTGTTTCTTTCGATTTCCTGTAACTCTTCGATCATAGCTAACTTCCACTTGTTAATCTTCAAAGCTTTGCTATAGTTGATTGGTTCATCACCGACAAGTAAAGAAAAATGAACTAATTCTCCATCTGGTGTAATTTCATCATCACCCACCACTTCATAATCATGAAGTCTTGTTGGAAGAACTCTATTTCTTTGAGGTCTTTGGCTTGTTTCAGCCACAACCTCTTCGACTTCGACTGTTAAGGGAGTGTCAATAACCGCTTCTTCTTCAACTTCGACTGGATTCTCAATAAATCCTTCGACCTCTACTTCATTAGTTTCTTCTTCGAAATCAAAGTTCATTAATGATTTGTTAATTGAATTGCTAGAATTCCAATCCCAGGCAGAATTTTCATTAAAAATAACAATATCTCGACTCAACACAATCTTCTCATTAACTGGATTGAATAGTCTGTATGAACCAGTTTTATGACATCCTACCAGAATCATAGGTTCACTCTTGTCATCAAGCTTTATTCTCCTTGCATCAGGAACATGCTTGTAACACATAGAGCCAAACACCTTCAAGTGACCTACTGATGATCGTTTGTCACTCCACACTTCTTCAGGAATCTTGTTCTTCAATATCTTAGTAGGACACCTATTCAAAATATAAACTGCAGTCGAAACAGTTTCTCCCCATAAAGATTTTGGCAAATTCTTTTGCTTCAGCATGCATCTCGCCATATCTAATATGGTTTTATTTCTTCTTTCATCAATTCCATTATGTTGAGGTGTGTAAGGAGCAGTTACCTCATGATCAACACCATGTTCTGCACAGAAATCTTCAAACATCTTGGATGTGTATTCGCCACCTTCATCTGTTCGCATAACTTTGATCTTCTTCTCACTCTGGTTTTTGACAAGTATCTTGAATCTCTTAAAGATTTCGAATACTTTATCCTTTCGTTTGATCACATAGATCCACAACTTTCAACTAAACTCATCGAAAAATGAAACAAAATATTTGTTTCCACCAATTGTATGTTCTTTGAATGGACCACATACATCTGAATGCACCACTTCGAGAATGCAGGATGATCTCATTGACATAGTCGAAATGAAAGAATTTCTAGATTGCTTTCCCACTAAACAACCTTCATAAAGTTTTTCAAGCATCTCAAGGCTTGAAATACCAGTAACCATATCATGAGTAATTGGTTGATTAAGTGATCAAAAATTCAAATGTCCAAACCTCAAGTGCCACAACCAACAATCCTTGTGGTCGATAACAGTTTTCAAGCATTGAACTTTTGTCAAACTGATCATAGTCTTAAATGTCCTATTCTTCGACAATGGAGATTTTAAGACCAAATTGTTCTTTGTGTCAAACAATTTCAAAACTCCATCTTTCATGACAACTGAAAAACCATTTTCGACTAGTTGTCCAACACTTAACAAGTTACATTTCATTCCAGGTACATAGAGCACATCTTTAATCATAGCTTTCCCTCCATTACTCATTTAAAAGACTATGTTGCCAGTACTTTTTGCCTGCAACAAACTATTATCAACAAGTTTTACCTTGCTCTTCTTCGACTCGTCAAAATATGCCAACCACTCCTTTCGACCAGTCATGTGGTTCGAGCAGCCTGAGTTGAGAAACCAGATATTGGATTCAACATGGTTATCTGCAATTGCAGCCATAACCATCATACCACCTTCAGAATCATTTGAATCTTGGCGTGCAAGGTTCGCTCCTTCGTCCTTGCCTTTCGATCCCTTGTCTTTTCTGTACTAACAATTCTTGGCCAAGTGTCCCTACTTTTCACAGTTATAACACTGCATACCTTTCTTATCTTCTTTGTCCTTTTGATAGTTTCCTCATCCCCTTTTCGAGGATTCAGAAGATCTATCTTCGACCTTATTCTTATGGGGATTCGACCAAGACTTCTTTCCATGAGTCTTGTCGAACTTGCCTTTGAATTTGTGTGAACCACCATCTTTTTTCCATGATTGAGCTTGCAGTGCCTGTATTGAGTCCTGAACTCATTTCCTTTCGATAATCCTCATCTCATGCACCTCCAACGAACCAACCAAATCTTCCACTTTAGTGGTTTCAAGATTATTGGATTCTTGAATAGCTACGATAACATGATCAAAGTGAGAGGTCAACGTTCTCATTACCTTCTCAACTATCATCTTATCAGTAATGGTTTCACCACAATCCTTTATGAGATGGACGAGTTTCTGAACCTTCGACACATATTCTACAACTTTTTCATCTTCTCCCATCGATAACAACTCACATTGTCGATGCAAGGTTTGTAATTTGACAACCTTGACTTTCTCACCTCCTTCGAAATACTTTACCAGAATATCCCATGTCTCCTTCGTTGTTTCAGCATGAGAGATTCTCTCGAAGTTAGCAGCATTGACAACCCTTTGAATGCAATAAACAACCTTGCAATCTTTCTTCTTGACTTTGTTGTGGGCTTTTTTCTGTTCGTCGGTTGCATTTGCAGCCAACGCAGGAACGCCGTCGGTAACAACTTCTAGGGTTTCATGGAAGCCAAATAAGGATTACATCTGTTTTTTCTATCAGATCCAATTTTTGCCGTCAAACATTGGAAGAGAATTCGGAATGCCCTTATCACTAGCCATCTTCGCAGTGGTTGATTTACTTGCCCTAGAAAAACGATCTCTGACGTGAAATTCTTGAGAACTTGATCAAAAACAATAACCGGAAGCTCTGATACCAATTTGTTAGTGCGTGAGGCATTTTTAGTGAGGAGAAAAAGAGAAAATAATAAAGGAAATAAGGGTTTATATTACTCAAGTGTACAAATAACGACACACACTATAACTATTTATATACAACCCTAATTAGACTTGAACTAACATAATTTAAATTATATTAAATATTAAATTTAATCAAATCTAATCTAATCTAATTTAATATTTCAATAAAAAATTTAATAACTTAAATTAATTATTTTTTCGCAAGTATTTGTTTAGTGGTTAGATCTTATTATAAATTTAAATTAATTAGTTGATCATTAATAAATAATTATTTCATTTAAGATTTAAATGCTATAACATTATGACATATTCTAATTTCTAAAAAGATTATTAAAATCATTATGACATATTATAATTTCTAAAAAAATCATTATGAACAAAATTATAACCTACATATTAGATTTCTTAATAAAAAAGTAATCAATAATTTTAATACGAGCAACCATCTCATAATTGTAAGATTTCTAATTAATGAAATTTCTATCAAAGCTACATTGTTCCTAACTTATCAAATTAGATAAAAGTATTAATATTATATATTAATTTTGTGAATGATTTTTATATAAAATTTTAATTAATATATTTTTTAATTTAAATTTAATAAATATATAAAAAATAAAAATTAAATAATTGATTAGCAATAACATTTGTCTTACATATAAATTGTTCTTTCGGCACTCTTCAATAATTCAATTGCAAAAATTAACTACTGGAAATATAAATTGAGAACTAACATCTGATCGCAAAAAATAAAATGAAATTCCTAAAATGAAGGTCATCGGGTGAAAAAATAGAATTAGTTAGAAATAGCAAAAGAAAAAAAATTGGAAGCATTTGAATCCAATTGTCAAAATAGCTATAATTAGAATTAAAATCCAATATTGGTAATTATGAAAGTTGAAGCCTCCATCACCAATCTCGTTCTCAAACACGATGACAATTTTCTGTTTCTGTTTGTGGCTACCCAATTCCAAGAAAACAAAAAAATACACAAATATCTATATCCAACAAAAAATAAAAAAAATAGAGAGACAGAGAAGAAAAAGAGGAGGGGAACAATCAACTTTAATCTCTCCGAACAACGGTCCATTTCTACCCGGAGGACGCTTCAGATTCCAGGTTGCCAATGGCCGTTGTTCGCTTCCTTATCTTCATCCTTCTCATCCTCATCTGTCTCCCTTCCCAATGCGTTTCCGTTCCTGAATCTGAAGCACTCCTCAAGCTCAAACAATCATTCACAAACTCACAGTCTCTTTCTTCATGGGTCCCTAATCAAAACCCGTGCTCTTCAAGATGGGTTGGTGTGATTTGTTTCGACAACATCATATCGAGTCTTCATCTCTCTAATTTAGGACTCGCGGGTAAAATTGACATTGATTCTCTATTACAGATTCCATCCATAAGAACCATAAGTTTCGCTAACAACTCTTTCTCTGGTCCCATTCCCGAGTTCAATAAACTTGGTGCTCTTAAAGCTCTTTACTTAGCACAAAACCAATTCTCAGGACCTATTCCTCCACAATATTTTTCACATTTAGCTTCTCTGAAAAAAGCATGGCTCAACAACAACAACTTCTCAGGAAATATACCAGAATCGTTAACAAATCTCCGTTTCCTCGGCGAGTTACATCTCGAAAATAACGAGTTCTCCGGTCCTATTATAGAATTAAAGCAAGATATTAAATCATTTGACGTATCTAACAATAAGTTACAAGGTTCAATACCAGCTACAATGTCTAGGTTCGACGCAAAATCTTTTGCAGGAAATGAAGAGCTTTGTGGGAAGCCTCTTGATAAAGAATGTGATCCTTCTTTGATTTCAATGCCAACAACACCTGAAAGTGAACAAGGTTCTGGATGGGCTTTAAAGTTTGTTGCAATTCTAATTGTTGCAACACTTGTGGCGGTTATTTTCACATTAATTAAATCAAAACGCAGAGCTGACGATGATTTTAGTGTTATGAGTAGAGAAAATAATGATGATGTGGTTCAGGTTCATGTTCCTAGCTCCAACTATAGTAGAGCATCAGAAGTCAGTAAAAAAGAATCTAAGAGAGGTTCTTCAAAGAGCGGTGGAATGGGTGATCTTATTATGGTGAATGATGAAAAAGGTGTGTTTGGTTTACCTGATTTGATGAAAGCTGCTGCTGAGGTTTTGGGAAATGGTGGCTTGGGTTCTGCTTATAAAGCTGCAATGACTAATGGGTTATCCGTAGTTGTCAAGAGGATGAGAGAGATGAATAAAGTGAGTAGAGATATATTTGATGCTGAGATGAGACGGTTTGGGAGACTCAGAAACCGTAATATTTTGGCTCCTTTGGCTTACCATTACCGCAGAGAGGAGAAGTTATTTGTTACTGAATACATGCCCAAAGGAAGCTTGTTATATGTCTTGCATGGTAACATATCAAATTTATTTATATATCATCTATTAAACACAATATAGACACAAGACACAAACACGCGTGTCAAGCGCGTCACACATGTCTTTGTTCAGAGGTGTCAATTACTTTGTATCCTTTTATTTATATGCATGAATAATAACAGTTGAGGTTGAGGGTCGAGATGTTTTTTGTTCCAGGTGATAGAGGATCAAGCCATGCTGAATTAAATTGGCCAACTCGATTGAAGATTGTGAAGGGAATCGCCCGTGGTTTAACCTTTCTCTACACCGAATTCGCATCCGGAGATCTTCCGCATGGAAACCTTAAATCAAGCAATATACTTCTAACTGATAATTATGAGCCACTTTTAAGTGACTTTGCATTTCATCCATTAATCAACCCAAACTATGCAGCACAAACAATGTTTGCATACAAAACTCCTGATTATGTTGTCTACCAACATGTTTCACAGAAAACCGACGTTTACTGTCTCGGAATTATCATTCTTGAAATCATTACTGGCAAGTTCCCTTCTCAATATCACAGTAATGGTAAAGGTGGCACTGATGTAGTTCAATGGGTTTTCACAGCAATTTCTGAGAGAAGAGAAGCAGAATTGATTGATCCAGAGTTAGCAGGAAATAATGCAGATTCAATTAATCAAATGCTACAACTTATTCAAATCGGGGCTGCTTGCACAGAAAGTAATCCTGAACAACGACTTAACATGAAGGAAGCTATTAGGAGGATAGAGGAATTACAAGTTTAAATATGAATAAATATTTTTATGTCAATATGCTAGCTTTAGTATGTAACATTTACTTTTGTAGGTGAGAGTTACAAACTTAGGAAACATTAATTAATCACATTGATTCAGCATCTTGACCAAATAATTCAGTATTCATGAATGATCCTCTAAAAGCTTAGTGGTAAACATTGAGTTTTGCACAGTACTATTAAGAGACATATATGGAGGAATAAAAAAGGGTGACTTCAAAGGGAGAAAATTGGATGCATGCATGGCTTCATGGAAGAATTGGAATTTCTAAGAAACAAAAGTGAATTCTCTATGCTATTGCGGATCTGATGAGGATTGAGATGTTTCCAAAGTTTTCTCCTTTTGAAGAGTGAAAAATGTGAAAGTACAAGATTAATTGAGTGGTGTGCCTCGTATAACTGATAATGAATCTTGTAAATTAATGTGCAATTTTTATATAATGAAACATTTTTTGATACCATCCTTTAAAATTAACTGTGGAAAAATTAGTACATAAACTAAATAAAAATTTCACCAAATTTTCCTCTTATCAATTTCAAACTGCCTTTCTAATTTGTAAAAAAAATTAAGTTTTTTTTTTAAAGTTATCACATCTTTTTATAGTTTTTATACAATTTTTCTTATTTTTGTTCATTCATTTTGACATTCTTAAAGTTAACGAGACCATGATTATTATAAATACTTGGAGATGTTACATAATAGAGTTGCAAGACATTTTGAACGGTTACTTCTATTGCAAGCTATTAACTTAATTGAATAATAACAACTTCAAAAGATAAAAATGTGAAGTGTGATACATGAAAATTAATTTAGTTGATTGGATCTACTTACATAAGCGTTTATGAAGATGTTTCACACATTTAAAAGCAAATTTCCGTTAAACCTTAAACAAATTTTGAATACTAAAATGAACTTTACATCCTGATATTCAGTAGTACATTTGTCCTTCTCTATATGATTCATTTTCAATCATTACGAAAAATATCTCTTAAAATAAATTAAAATTTTATTTTTATCTTCCAAAATTAAGACTGTTAGGCCATGCCCTGAGGTGCCATTGAGATATCGCATTATACATTTGACAACAACCCAATAAGTATCAAGAGGGGATGCCATAAATTGACACGCCTTGTTTACGCTGTAGGCAATGTCTGGTCTAGTCAAGGTGACACATTGTAAAGCACCAACAATAGATTTGTACAGCTGAGGATTAGGCAGAAAATTTGTTCCATGCTTGCTAAGTTTGCACGTGCTTAACATAGGGGTAGGAACACCATTAGCTGTGGGCATTTTTTCTCTTGACAGTAAGTCTTGAATGTATTTGGACTGAGTTAAGAGCATAGATCCATTGCTGCAAAAAGTTACTTCAATTCCTAGAAAGTACCTGGGTCTGCCCAGCTTTTTCAATGCAAAAGTATTATGCAGCTTGCTAATCAGATCATGAATAAGAGGTGTACTAGATCCTGTTATAAGAATATCATCCACGTAGACAAGAGCATATAATGTGATACCTTGTTTGTGGTAGACAAATAAAGAGTTATCACATTTGGAGGCAGCAAAACCAAAATGGAGAAGAGACCTGAGTCAGCTTTTCATACCAAGCACGTGGGGCTTGCTTGAGGCCATAAATTTCTTTGTTGAGTTTACAAACCAGACGTTTATCAGTATTCACAAACCCTGGAGGTTGAACCATATATACCTCATCATGCAGATTACCATTAAGAAATGCATTATTAATGTCAATTTGTTGAATGTCCCATTTGTAAGTAATGACAAGAGTTAGAATAATTCTTATTATAGTAGGTTTCACCACTGGTGAAAAGGTTTCAGTATAATCAAATCCATGTTCTTGGTGAAAACCTTTGGCAGCAAGTCTGGCTTTGTGTTTGAGAACGGTTCCATCAGGATTTTCTTTAAGTTTGAAAACCCACTTACAACCAACAGTTGTTCTACCAAGTGGAAGTGTGGTTAGTGTCCATGTGTTGTTAACTAGCAGAGCATTAAATTCATCCTGCATAGCTTTGGACCATTCAGGTTTACTAAGTTCTTGTTTGACACTAGTTGGTTCAGTTTATGTGTGTACAAGCAGAGCTTTAGGTCTGGAATGTCCAGTTTTGGCACGGGTTAACATAGGATGATTGTTTTCAAGTAAGAAAACCATGGGTGTACTAGACACAATAGAGGGAGAGTTGGATGATTAAGACACAAGAATGAATGAGGATATAGTAATTTCATTAGAGCAGAAGTTAGTGCTATAAGAGTTTTGATTAGAGTGATTTAAATGATCAGACATGTGGCCTAGTGTAGTATCCTCAGGATCTTTAGGCATGGATAACTGAGCAGAACTAGTATCCTTGGTACTGAAGGGAATAATGTTATTTTGTTGAGGGATTTTATCAGGACTAATATCCTCAAGACATTGAGATACCTCAGGTACAACTTGCCCTGTACAGTGGAGGGTAGAGTTATTGGTAGAAACAACTTTGGAGCTAGAGCTATTACCTAGCAAATTTAAGGTATTTCTTGGAATACTGACTTTATTGTTGTTGTTAGGACAGGAGGTAGCATTAGATGGTGTACTAGTAGCAGACTGATTAGACAGAGGAGTATAATCAGCTCTAAGTGACCCATGACCAGTATTGATGTTGAGATCAGTATCAGTAGGGTGAACTTGACTAGGAGTATCTGAGACTACCAAATTAACTTGCTGAGTGTTACTAGGATTTTCAAGTGGAACAGGATTTTGAGAGACAACAGGGCATGAGCCAATTGCTAGAGGAATAGAGGGTATACCAGTGGAGCTGCTTTTATAAGTACTGGTAGGATTGACAGCTGGAAAGGGTTATGGGAAAGGGAAGCTATGCTCATTGAATGTGGCGTCTTTTTAGATATATATATTTTCCCTCTTTACTAAGGCATTTAAACCCTTTGTGTTAAGATGATAGCCCTAGGTAGACACACTTTTGACTTCACAGTTCAAACTTATGTTTATTAAAGGGCCTTAGCAATGGAAAGCATGGACAACCAAAAACTCTTAAGGCTTTATAATTAGGTTGCTTGTCATACAAGGCTTTAAAGGGAGATGAAAATATGGCTAAGACAGTGGTAGGTAGTCTATTTATAATGTGAACTGCAGTGGTGAAACTTACTACAATAAGAATTATTCTAACTCTTGCCATTACTTACAAATGGGATATTCAGCAAATTGACATCAATAATGCATTTCTGAATGGTAATCTGCATGATGAGGTATATATGGTTCAACTTCCAGGGTTTGTGAATACTGATAAACATCTGGTTTGTAAACTCAACAAGGAAATTTATGGCCTCAAGCAAGCCCCACGTGCTTGGTATGAAAAGCTGACTCAATCTCTTCTCCATTTTGGTTTTGCTGCGTATAAATGTGACAACTCTATGTGCTTTTCCAATTTGACAGGAATTGCAAACTTCAAAACTTTATTTATTAGAAGTACTGATATTACATAATTTGAGTATAGAAGCAACTGAATTAAAATTGGCATGACCTAGTCTGTGATGCCAAAGAGTGTTATTATTACATGAGTTAGGATTTTAAGAAACAAGATTGGAAGCAACAAAGCTTTGTACAGCAGTGCCAGGGCATAAATTGTTATTTTGGATGTGTGAATGTGTTGGCTCCAAGTGAAGTTGAGGAAAACAGTAAAGACAACTTGCATCAAGAGCTCCTTCAACAAGTATTTGTTTATAAGCCCGACATTTTATGTAGCATTTGTCAGAATAAAATTCAAAAACAACATGGTTATCACTATAGAACTTTGAGAGATATAACAAATTCTTAGTGATAGTAGAAACATGAAGCACATTAGACAATTTTAGCATATAATTAGGGTTAAGAGAAGAATAAAACTGAGAGAAACCTATGGACTGTATGTGTTGTACCCCAAAATTTTCCCTCTCATTTCTCAAGGCATTTCTCACAATGATTCTCAAAATTCAATCTTGCACAAGTACAATTGGATTTTCCAACATCAAGTTAAAGAGGAAACTGTTAAAAAAGGGGAAAATAGATAAAAATAATATTTTTGACAAAATTGGAGAAAATGCAAGTCTTCTTCGATTCACATCCTTTGATTGTACTTTTGGCCTTCTTCGATGCAAGCTTGGCTTGCATCCTTCAATTGGGCGTTGGCCTCTGACACGCTAGCTTTGATTTACAAGGCAAGAGCTTCCTGCATGCAACCTTCGATTGCATCCTTGGCCTCACATGGTTCATAATGCAATGTCTGCCTATATGCCTGCTTCGATTGGACGTTTGATGCATGCATGCTTTTGTTGATTAAACAAATATTTCCCTCCATGATTGCTTTGATTCACAAGGTGATGGCTAGCTGCATACAGATTTTGATTGAGCCATAGCTTCCTTTTTGCATGCAAGAGGCGCCCACCAAGCCAACAGGAACAAGACAAAAAGCCTCTTGTAGCCTCCTTTGATTCCAAGGCAAAAAGCCTCTTGTAGCCTCCTTCGATTCCAAGGCAAAAATCCTCCTGCTGGCATCCTTCGATTTCACAATTTGCCTCCTGCATGCCTCTTTCGTTTGGGCTTTTTTACTTCCTGCATTACTCTTTCGTTTGGGCGTGTGGCCCCCTTCAATACAAGCTTTGGTTACACCCTTCGTTTGGGCATGTGGCTTCCTTCAATGCAAGTTGTTGTTACACCCTTCGTTTAGACATGTGGCTCCCTTCATACAAGCTTTCGTTTGAGCAAAGGTGTCTTGCGTATTTGTTTGAAGTCACAAAGAAATGGCCTCCAGCAGCTCTCCTTCGACTCAGAAGCCATTGATTTTCCATGTTAGCCTTTGACACCCCAAAGCCAGGATTTCCTTTATGCCAGCAGACACAAGGCAGAGACCTCCTGCATGCACCCTTTCGTTTGGCCATGTGACCTCTGGCAGATAAGCCTTCGATTGGACAAAAAGCATCTTCAGACAAAGCTTCGACTGGAGTTTTAGTTC